TGCTCTGATGTTTGTTTGTTTGTTTGTTTGTTTGTTTGTTTGTTTGTTTGTTTGTTTGTTTGTTGGTCAGTCAGAAGCAGGAAGTGGAGTCTCCGCCCTCTGAAATGTTTACCTGAGCTTCATCTCTGTGTTTTGTGAGTCTGAACAGAAAACTTCTGCTGAACTTTGATTTGTTTTAACTGTCAACAGATTTTAAACCTGTCTGTGGACCAGAACACTTCAGGGAGGCAGAGTTTGGTTCTGACCCGATCCAATCTGCCCCGGAGTCTAAACCTCCCGGAGCAGTTCTGGGCCAGTCTTGGACTATTCCTGGGCCAGTATTGAACTAGTCCTAGGCTAGTCTTGGGTCAGTCTTGGACTAGTCCTAGGCTAGTCCTGGGCCAGTCTTTGACTAGTCCTAGGATAGTGCTGGGCCAGTCTTTGACTAGTCCTAGGCTAGTCCTGGGCCAGTCTTGGACTAGTCCTGGGTCAGTGTTTGACTAGTCCTAGGCTAGTCCTGGGCCAGTGTTTGACTAGTCCTAGGCTAGTCCTGGGTCAGTTCTGGGCCAGTTCTTGGTCAGTTTTTGGTCTTGGGTCCATCAGACACAGAACCAAAGTAGTGTGTATTTCTTTTGGAACCTAAGACTCAGGACCTCTGGAAAGCTTTGAGACTAAAGTGCTACAGCTAACTGCTGCTGCTGTTGGGTTTTAAAACGATCTGGTTACTCAGAGGCTGAAGTGGTCCGGAGGTCTCAGACTAGCCTTTAGCTCATCAGTCCTGTCAGAATCCTTCATCCAACAGGTTTGATCACAAAGATTCACAAACCTCTTCATCACTGACCGCTGAGGAAGAGGAGGAGGGGAGGTCTGGTCTGGTCTGGTCTGGTCTTGTCGGGTCTTGTCGGGTCTTGTCGGGTCAGGTCCTGCAGACGGAGCAGCAGGGTGGTCCCCAGAGTGAAACTTGTGCAATATGTTTATTTTTGGTTGTGGTCGAAGCATGTTGGTGTCCATCTGAAAACAATAAAGTTTTTTATTCAAACATTTTATTCTTTTCATTTTTATTTACAATTACAATCGATCACAATATTTTATTACGTAGACTTGAACTTGATATTGGGATTACAGGAACAGCTCTAAAATGGTTTGAGTCTTATTTAACTGACAGATTCCAGTTTGTTAATGTTAAAAATGAATCTTCTTCTTACACCAGAGTTAGTCATGGAGTTCCTCAGGGTTCAGTGCCTGGACCAATCCTCTTTATATTTGCTTCCTTTAGGTAAAATTATTAAACAGCATGGGATAAATTTCCATTGATATGCTGATGATACTCAGTTATATCCAAATCCATAATCCAAAAAATGAAACCATCTGCCTCCCCTCTCGACATCTCACCTCCCAGATTCTTAAAAGCTGTTTTTGACGTAGTAGGACCCACACATGCAGACTTGCTAAACCTCTCTGTTACATTAGGATGTGTCCCAAGATCCTTAAAATAGCAGTTGTGGAACCTATCTAAAAAAAGCAGTCTTTAAACCCATCTGATCTGAATAAMCGGCCCATTTCAAAGATACCATTTTTGTCTAAGGTCTTGGAGAAACTTGTTTCAGTACAACTAACATCCTACTTGGATGTAAATAATGTCTTTGATCACTTTCATTCTGGCTTCTGCAGATCTCAGTCTACAGAGACTGTCCTTCTACTCTGTCCTCTGACTGGACCTGTCCTCAGAGACATGTACTCTGTCCTCTGACTGGACCTGTCCTCAGAGACATGTATTCTGTCCTCCTCTGACT